CTATACATACTCAGTATACCCATATATACCAAAAGACTTGGAAATACTCACCATAACAGAATGACAGAAAAATAACTGTGTGCTGAAGGCACAGTGAGTTTCTCAGATTCTTGGAACGTCTACCATATTGCATACATTACTTTTTTCCCACCCAAAAGATCCCCAAACATATGACCCTAAAAACTAGAAGAATCCTAAAAATTTTATTGCACCAGTTTTTGAAGAGGCAGTTCACAAAGTAAATCACTGCTGTGTATTATCAACTGGGCAGCTGAGCAGGAAAAGGTTGCAAGGAACAGGTTTTCCAAAGGGTCAAGTGTTAAGAAGAAACCTCCCACTAGATGGCTCACAGGGTCCTTGCTGTATGAATGAAGGCAGGAATATCTGACCCAGCAATCATGAAAATGTAAATCTGTAAGACATTCCATAAGAACGTCATCAGATAATGACACTCAGGGCTGGCCATGGCTCTGCAGTCCTCTGCAGCCAGGAATTGAAAATCTTCATGCTGGAATTCATACAGTTCTGAGTCTGGATCCCTACCTTGTCCTTAGCTTTGTCTAGATTCCTAAAATATAAGAGCAGCAAGCACTCTGTAGGGAATATGGGTGACTTCTAGATTTTTTTATATTGCTACACAATATATTTAGTATTACAATGCATTTTCAGAACTGTGCCATTTTACATCCTTCATTATTTTCAGAATTTGTATTTATTTGAAAGGCAGAGCTGTAGATGTAGAATAAGCCAGTGTTAAGAAGCCCTCTATCATTCTGTGTATACATAGGATGCCCTGTGTGCAATTTGGGCTTCCACACTACAAATGCACTACAAATTACAGAACCATTCTAGACTGCCAAAATGACTACAAGAATGCAGGAGAATGGAAATTACCTGCATTGCTCTTAATTACTGTGGCTGATTGCAATTCTAAGGTGACAATCAGCGTATGCATGAGATGTTAGAAGCTAATTATAATTTTGGTATTGCAATCAATACCAACATGGCAGTGCAAGACCCTAATACTCACAATGAACATTTTTTTGTCCCATTATTAATGACTTCTACAACAATACACTGATACAAAAATGTCCCAGGAACTGACTTGTTGTTAAAAAGAATGATGTTACCAATGAGCATTTTGACTATGAAAATATTATCAACAACAATATAAAATTAATTAAATAAACTTTAAAAATTACAAGTATATAATTAATATAGATTAATAAATATTAATAATTATTCCACACATAACTACAGTATATTGGGATAACTTTATTACTATATCTAAAATTTATTTTATTATTATTATTACAGAGTACACATCCAATGTAGAATACTACCTTCATTATGAAACTAATTAGGAAATTAATTTATGCACAGCTTTATCAACTTTATTTTTTGGGTCATGAGACAACTTTTCTATTTTGACATTCAAAGACCTATTATTCCTAAAACTGGGGTGCTGTAATTAGCATGCCTTTGACAGAAATAGCTCCTCAAACTACTAAAATTCTACTAGATGATGATCTTGTACTGTGGGAGTAGATCTTCAATTCTCAAACTTGATTTGTGAAACCATTGTGCTAACCTTCCATATTGAACAAAAGGACAGGAACTTATAATGTCACCAGTAGCCAGAAAGTGTAACAAAAGCCAAAACTTGTTAATTTATTTTTCATTTAATTATCTGAAGATTAATTACTTTAATGTTTATACTGACTGAATGTTTATACTGACTGAATACTTAAGATGAGTATGTTCAAATAAATGTAAGTTCTAAATTTTGTAATATATGGATATATTTATTCAGTAATAGTAAAAATTAGATTCATCTTCTTAAAATGCAGTTTTATGGCTTTTCAACTGATCTACCAAAAATATCTGTAATATATTAGTTCTTACTAATAAAAAATCTAAAACATTCTACTTCATAAATTAATTCCTCAAAAGTTTACTTAAAATAACTTTTTCCAGAAATGTGCAGGGAAATTACCTTATATAATCATCAGATTCTCTATGTGGTTTAAGGAGTTAAGTGACCAAGGCTGTTCCTACAAAGGTATATTCCCAAATAATTTAACTGTCATTAAAGTAACTGCTGAAATAACTCTTCCTTTGAGACTTACTAATTTCATTTTCTTCAGAATTGAAATGCCTCTCGACTATTCAGTATATTCATAAAATCAAAGCAGATCACTTAATATCATTTCTTTAAAAACTCAGATAAATATCACAGAAACAAATTTCTACAATTCTGAAAAAGAGCTCATTGCACCCATACTGGGAAAGGGGGAATAAACTAAATCCCAAAACACAGAAGTGTTTTCTCAAGCAGTCACAAATTTGTGGAGAACTGCAAATGCTCTTCTTGGAGTCTAGAACCATAAACATACTGCCTGGACTGAGGAATGAAAAAGCATTCAAACTACTGCTTTTTTCGTGTAAATACTGCACAGCATGCACAGCTTCAGATGACATTTTAAAGTGAAAACATTACAAGACAGAAATGACTAGGATTAGTATGAAATGAAACTGAGAGGTCAAAACATAGATCATGGAAAATGTTTTATTTATTATATATGAGAAGTGGAAAATTCTGATCACTAGAATGATAGAAATGAAACTTCCTAGTTCAAAAGCATTATCCAACAATTTGGAAGCAATAAGAAAATCTGCATAAAATTGGAAACTACCAGTTGGCAAAAACAAAAAGAAACACAGATCTGTCACTATGATCAAAATGGTTACCAGAAAACAGTGTGATAGAATTGGGAGAAAACTATTTCCAGAAAAGATAAAGAAATATTAATGCCTTTGTACAAAGCAAGCTAAGATCTTGGATGGCAAACAAAGTACACTTCTGCTCCTTCAGGATTAATACATCAGGAAAATAAACACTGAGAAGAAAAAAATCTACATAATAATTATTAAAGTACTGTAAAAATTGAGAATAAAATAGTTACAAATACATATAGTCTGAAAAATAAAAGATGTTTCTAACTATAGCAAGTGTAATGTAGAAAGAGAAAAAAAAATAAACCTGAAAAGTAACAAAAAGAGATGCTTTGAGGAAAAAAAAGTACTGATTACTGCATTGCATCTTTTAAAATAACTTTCAAAATGGCCTAAATCAATTCTTCTGTGCTCTCCAGAGGCAAGGACCTCAAGAAACAAGAGAAAAGTGAATATTAACCACTTGAACCCTGTCTACCACAGAAAAGTACAAGCATATCTTCAGTAATATGCTATTGGGTGCAAAGGCAGTCCTTGCACTAACTCAGTGCTCAGATCTGACTCACTTCATTATTTTAGCTATGGACCTTTTTCTCCTGTCAAACTGAAGAGCCAAACCCACACTCTCCAGGCCCATCTGCTCCACAGATCCATGAAGCACCAGTCCTACACCCTGTTTGCCTCTTCAGGCGTCAACCACAGTCCATGCTAAATGTTATAGGATATTTCATGGCTGCCTTTCAACTCTTTCATCTCTCAGAGGCTTCTGCAGAGCTAGTCAAAATAAAACTCTGGAAATGCACATTCTAAATTCTTCTACATCTCACACTTCAAAAATTGTGGCTGAAGTATGATTCATAGTTTTTTTACTTCAATTTAATTTAAAGAAAAAACAAAATCATGTTTCTTCTCTTCTCACTAAAGTTTTCCCATGGTTTTGGTTTTTTATTCTTTTAGAAATTTCAGTATGCTTTTTTTTTTTTTTTTTTTTTGCATCCTGTCTTGCAACACAACTGTTAAGTCCAGTATAGAGGCACTGGACTTTATTGAAGATACACAGAAAAGACATTGCTATTTTCTTTCAGGCAAAATTTTCTTTGCCTCCCAACAGATATCACTTTTGCAGGAGAAATTATTTAAGAGGTCTCGTCAGTTCTTACATTTGTTTCTGGATTTCCATTGTGCAAGAGGATTTCTCCACAAGATTATAAGGATTGTCATCCTTCCAGCATGTTTCCAATACCCACCTTTTGATTCTGTAACTCTTGCCTCTTCAGCAAGAATTATCAACTCTCGAATATTTACAACAAACAGTCTTCTCAGTGAAAGGTAAAGTACACTTCCTTTGTTATGGAGCAGCTCTGCTGCTTTTGTTTTGGCAGAGGATCTATTCTTAAAGGCCACCAAAACAGTTCCAATGAAACAGATTGGTCTGTCCATGTGACATTGCTGGTTGAAAAACAGGTATATATATATAAAAACTAATGCAGAGAGACAGTAAATTAATCTAGTTATTGCTCTGCACATCATTTTCTTTTTGAGATGCCTTATTACCTTACTTATAGGACTAGTTACAATTCATCTTCTGGAATGGAAAAAGAGGTAGGATGATTGATTTCATTTGTCTATCCAATTTGTACATATCTTTAATGAACAGAGCTAGGCATGCAGCAAAAATATGACTTAGCTCTAAAAATAATTAACTTTTGTTCTCGTATCATTTTGGCATTAATTTTCATTATGCCTTCAAGCAGGTGAAAAACATGGAAATGCTCCAGTGAGTGCTTACATACTTAGATTCTTCCAGCGCCGGAGCCCATGAAAGTAAGTGACGCAACTTCAGGAGTTAACACATATAGACAATGCTTTAAAATTACCTTCTGCAGGGGCAGGTGAGCAGTAGACTGTCTTCTTGGGTTAGTGACTTTTCTCCCCTTCCAAGTTCAGCTATGTGCCCTGGCTAATGCATGTACCAACAGGGAAATCACCGAAGACAAGGACAGTGGACAGTGCCACCAGGATGTACCAGAGTGATGACATTTCACTGCCCACCATTTACCTCTCCATCAAGTAGTACCTGTGTCCCAGCAATTAGAGAGATGATGATGCACCTGCACAAGAACAACTGAAAAGACTCCTGAGTCTTCCCAGTGGTTACTTGCAATCTCACCACTACAATCCACTACTGATTTGAAAAAAACAATGCGTTTTGGGGAAACCATGGCCACACATACTTCATTGTTTTGCCCATAACCCAAAAGAAAATGCAAAAGCAATGCAATAGATACCTTTGTTTAGGCTTTCAGTTGCACTAAGAATGAATGCCAAGGATGTTATCTCCAAGTGATATGGACTAGCTTGTATGCCTACTGTCTGCTGGATATGTGACGAGCAGTCACAGGAGCTAGAAAAACGCTTGATCTCACCTCTTTCCATTAACATTGCCTACATTTATATTCAGTTACTCAGAAGAGGATTTTTTAGCTAACTTTTACCACCTAGGCAATTGTTAGGAATTTCTTTTTGAAAAATACTGCAAAACATCTCTTTGTCAATTGTGTAATGTATTATCACAAAACAAGTTTTAGTAGCAAAGATAATTCAGTGTAGCATTCTCATCTCAAGTACCTAACTACCCTTTATTTTGTGCTGCCCCAGGAACTAGGGCTCTACTAGTAAAGATTCAGTAGACATTCCATCAATAGAAAACAAACTTGTAAATAACACCACTTCCTGAAAACAGACTGACTGAAAAACCCCATATGTTTTTTAAATTCCCGAGAGTGACAGAGAAGAAGCCAGAGCATTTTAGCTTGCTGCTAAAAATATACTCAAGTTTTTTTCAGCTACTCAAAGAATTTGAGTGCTAATTTCAGGTCACATAAAAATCACACATCCAGTCCAATCCAGTCGGAATACAGATATTCTCTGGGTGAAATTTTAGTCTCCTTAGTGCTAGAGATTCCTTTCACATTGTCTTCAGCAGAGCGTATCATTCTCGGAACTTGAGTTTCAGGCCTCTTAAAAAAGAAATTTTTACAGTTGTTATTTCTTGAGAAGTAACTGGACAAGTTTAAGGGGTTTTTAGCAAATAGTAGATAGATACACCAGGCTAAGAAGTTGTTCTGCATATAATGTACCAAATTGTGATAGAAATCGCTGAGTAGAAATTTCCAGAGATCATTACAGTTTTGTTTGTGTAGAGGCAAAGATAACTTTATCAAAGATGAAGAATATACCCTCACAAGGTCTCTAATTTTTACAAAAGTAAGCTTTTAATGCTCAAGCAGTCACCAGGAACACTAGTTGTATAAAAGTGGAAATGTGTATGTATGTGCTACGAGTACGACTAGATACTAATGCATGCATATACAAATATTTTTTGTTTAAAAAATGAACACTTAAAAATCACTAAATTATTCAGAAGACGTGATCTACTGTTAATTCACATTCAATCCCAAGTACAGCCATGTTCTGAAAGGTTTAGGTTCACATAACCAGAAACATACCTGTATACTTCTAAATGCTTCTAAACACACTTAGCACAAACCCAACCTCATTTTTACTATGTTCTACACCTGATTTTAGTTTTGGTCTAGCCAACAGGAATGCAATCAGCAGCAGGTATTATTATTTAACCTATCTTCAAAATCAGAAAATTTCTACAGTTGAGCCCAGTATAATTCCTATTTAGCCCATTACCAGCTAAGTATGCATTACAGGATCCAGTGAAAATCATAACCTAGCAGTTACTACTCTAATTACACAATATATAAAAAATATCTGTGAGAACCTGTTACATTTCATTTTCATGTCAGTGTATGCTTGAAATGTAAATGAATGATTTAAAACTGTTTTAAATATATATTTTGTTAAATGCAATATCATGCATTAAAAACCATGAAAACAGAAGTTTCTTTCTATTTTAGTACTTCAGATGCATTTTCTACGTAGAGTAAGAGACACACAGAGCACACAGACAAGGCGAGTTTTTGTCAGGGTTTTTTTGTCAGCAGCCTTAGTCTCTCATTCATTTGCTGGATGGATTTCACCAGGCTAGCTGATGTCTCAAGGGTAGCCTAAGACTCACAAACTGAAAGTTTAATGTATTTTTAAAATTGCAATACCCAGAGGTAGAGGGTGAGGACTGACAGACTTCCGAGGCATTAATGTAATGCAAATACAAGTAAGAACTGTTTTCAAAAGAAGCCATGTATATTCTACAGCAGCCAGAAGGATTATATCCCATTCCTCATTGACAAGCTTGAAAAATCATGTAGAATGACTTATTAAGACATGAATGTACACCTTTGCCATGCTCTTATTTACTGCATGGGTACCTAAAATATAGCAGAGCTATTAAACAGAAAAATGACAACAGCTTCCTTCTTCAAACATACCTTGTTTTTCTCTCTATAGTAGAGTATTTTTAGGTAATTTTGCTTTGCATTTTTATATAACGATCTTATGGTTGTAAATAAAAAAAATGTAGCAATTACAAATAAACAGGAACACTTATATTTGTGAGTTGAGCTCTGTAAATCACACTTTCATAGCAATCTTTTAATAAAGCCAAGGGAAAACACATTTACATGAGTGAAGACCTACTTAAAACAATCTAAAAAAAAATAATCTAAAAAGCAGAGATTCTTACCCTAAAAAACTCTTTAGTGGAGCCAGAATCTAATGTCCCATAAGCAATTTCTGTTTGCTTGGAAAGATCCTCAGCACTTTCAATGGGAGACACCATCCTCTCAACCGTCAGGAAGGCAGCTAAGTTAGCCGTGTAGGATGAGATTATGATGAGGGTAAAGAACCACCACACACCTCCAACAATGCGCCCCGACAGGGATCTAGTAACAAGTATGAAATGGATTTGTAAAGTGAAATGGAAATCCCAAAAAGGAACAGGTTATCAGTTTTATGCAAATGGTGCATTATAATACAGGGAAGCATTTCAGTCTATCTCAGTGTCCAGCTCTCTATACGCATCAGATGGGAAATCAAGGTATTCTCCACTGGATCTCCTGGGACTTTGCTGAAATCAGGACTCCAGAGTTTACTACTGGAAGAACTTAGTGATCCAGTTCTTCAAAGTTTTGACAACCCTTGAAGGATACTGCTTCCATCATAATGTGCTATATTTAACACAAACTTTTTGTTCCCTCTGAAGTGATTTTGTGTGACATTATGATTAGGATCAAACAAAATCAGCAGATAAACCAATATGCACTTTAAAATCAAGGGCCTTGATTGTTTTCTTAAGACATTCACACAAAGACTGATTTCCAGAAAACAATGGCTTATGCTGCTGTGCACAATCTGTACTGAGAAACAAATAACGTTATTTGTAAGGAAAGCTTGCCCAGGGAATATCTATAGGCTAGGAACGGCACACAACTTTTGAAAGATACAAACATTTAACTAAGTGAGGACTGGACATGAAACAATCAGTGATAATACAGAAAAATGGTGAAGAAAGTATATTTTTAGAAATAATAATAATAATAATAATCTGATGTTTATAACAGCAGCAGGCGGGCTCTTATGGATCTGTGTTTTGCTTCTCCTGCTCAAGAAGAAAGAAGAAAAGAGAACTGAAGAAAATATATAAAACAGAGTAAAGCACACAACTTAATAATTTTCAAGAATAGAAAACTAATATAAGAGAAATATTGATATAACATTATTGTCAAACTTGGCATTTTTTAATGATCCTTTAGAGTTTGAAATTAATTACCACTTTGTTTCCAAGCAAGACATTATAGGAAGCAGTACATAATCTTTGGAGATATGCTTAATTATTTGGCAGGAATGTTCATGTAGTTAAATGTCTAGTACTAGGGCAGTGCAGCAGCTTTGGTATGTCTTAGTGTGTATCCTCTATTTATAAAATAAACAAATTAGGAATCACTCAGCCTACTGTACTGTGAATGAGAACACAAACTAATTGTGACATAGAATATATATAGATATAACTATATATAGATATATGTACATTTAAAAATTATAGTTATGCAAAGCAGATTTTTACCAAGCTGGGAATAAAATTAAATAGAACCAATTCTGAACAAATCTTTTTTTTCTAACTGCTATTTCATAAAATCTCTGTCATAATTATGACATTAGAAGATTTATTCTATGTCACAACAGACTCACTAATTCACTCTACTACATGAAAGTCAAATCAGATAAGGCCCAAAATATGTTGTTCAGAGGACCACAGAAAAAAAAAATATTTCAAGCTCATTCTAAAGTGAGCTGTATTTTGCAAAAATGCTTTCTGTCACTTTTGAAATAACATCACATACTTATTTTGAAATGGGGATAATCAGAATATAAAATAATTCTACAAGTGAAATATTGAGTTATACTAAATATTTTATATTGTGTATTTGCATGGTAAAATCTAGCAGCATGTATTTAATAACTGCCAACTTTAGGTACTTTGTATTGTATTGATGACACCCTCTATAAAAGGTAATAATTTTCAAATGTCCATGATCTGTGAGCAAAGTGGCCACTGACTTTGTGGACAGAAAACATAAGCTCAATACCACTACAGAAATTATGCTTCCACATGGCATTTTACAAGTAAAATTATTTGGGTCATCATTTTTATTCAAAATTTCCCCAGGCTCTCTGTCACAGTTAAATGAGTAGTTTCTTTTATATGTACATTTTGAACAGTAGAAATGTGCTAGCATGAACCCATACTTTAGAAGCACCTAATTTACTAGACCTTTAAGTACTATAATAAAAATTTCTGTGCAAAATTACATAAATTTGTGCACCATCTTTTGTACTTAGAAAAGCATTATCCGGCAGAATGAAGAACACACTTACATTCCAGAAAAGGAAAACATTTCTCTAAGACATGATTATCACATAATATATTATTGTACTCCTTTGTTCCTCTACTACCCATGAGGCAACATTGGAACTGCTACTACAGACCATTTCCAGGTGGTCCAGTCTTACTCAGCACCACCTTCTATTCCAGAGCCAGAGAACCCTAGTAACCTGTCTACTCTAAAAGCCTTAGAGCAGTTGTCATTTTTATTAGAGGCATGATTGCAGTAGTGCAAAAATTGACTTCAGAAAAGTATTTTGTTGAGGTCTGAAGAGAGTCCTTTTTATATTTAATCTGATTTATCTGTAGGCAGTTCAAATTCCATAGTGAAATGCTTTGGTGCAAAATCAGAAACAACAAGTGCTTTTCAGCCATTTTCTATTTTCATAATAAACAGATAATATACAAACTAAACACCTTCCTCAGAATTATGGTTTCAATGAAATAAATTTAAATGCTTCAGTGAAGCTAAATATTGAATATCCAGAACTGAGTTTCATGCACCTTTTATGATGACCATTTGCTATCAGTATTCTTGCACTACCTTTCAATACCTATCAATCATATAAAGCAACCATTGCCCTTTCATAGATAGTAAAATAATAATGATAACAATAAAAAAATCATAATTCTACTACAGATTTGATTAAATAAAAATAATTTTGTACTAATATGTGATTTAACAGGCAACTCCAACTGTGAAGTGTGCAATCAATACAAAAACCCCACAGGAGTGAAATTAACACAACTTCTCATGATCTGTAGCAATTTGCCCTCTTCACTGTCTTGTCTCTTGTATAGAGTTCTTATTGGGTTAGGAGCCAAATGCATTGCATCTTTCACCATAAAGGCTGGCATCTCCCATTGTGATACAGCAGCCTTTACAGGGAATTGCTTAAGTTCTCACACAATAAATGCTATTATTTCTATGGTAGAACAACTTGAAAACCCGCTGTTGCCTTTTGAGATGCATGACTTAATATCTAAGAAATGCTCCCTTGGTTTGATTTATTTTGACCAACACCCACTAGACTCACTAGAAACAGAACTGTTCCCTGTCTTCAGGATGTTTATAAGAAATGTAATTATAATAAGCAGTTTTAACTAAGTCCTCTGGTTTGATTTCCTTAAACCTGGCTGTCCTATTTAAATTGTTACTATAATTCCTTCTAGCAGCAATTTACCTACCTACTTACCATTTCGCTGAATCAAGGCTAGAACCACTTGTGCACAAGCAAAATAGAATATTTAATGAACTGCAAAGGAATTAACTTAAGTGCTTTACAGTTGTCCCTAATAAAGGAGAAGAGAATCCATGAGGAATGAAGCACTTATAAACCAGACCTTCAGATTCATTTTCATAATTTCCTTTGTGACTTTTCTAAAACTAGGCCATGGAAAAACAGCAGTGTTTTGCAACTATCCACATGAAATTAGAGCCATCACAGGACTTTTACTTCAGTTCAAGGCTCTCTTGGGGAAGAGGAGTGTGTTAATAACCCTGTTACGATGTACAGGGAGTTTCAGAGGGGAAGCGCTGCCTGTGTAGTTCGTGACTAGTATGTAATCCTTTTTTCCCATTACAGTTGTGGTGAACCATATGCACTGTCAACTGTAAAATGGGAATATGCAGCAAAAACACGGTACCCCTCCAAGAAGGCATGGAATGATGAGAACCTTATGCATTTTACAGTCTCTGCATGGTGTATATAACTTCACTTGGCAAATTTATGATCGACATTAAGACAAATTCGATCAACTACATCCCGACCCTACGTCACAGACAAGTGCTTTCACTTCAAGGACTTCTGTGACTTTAGGGAGGGAAAAATCATTGCAATTAATTTCTCTCCAAGAATGAAAATATATGCACCACGAACCTCTTCTGGCTGAGATGGCTGAGACCAAAAATGCACAAAGTTGAAATGAGTGAGTAACCAACCTTGGCGAAATATCGCATCCTTGCTGCATAAAGGCACCCAGGGAAAACCAGAGACTATTAAATATCCCAAATTCATTAGTTGATTCATTAGTTTGCGTTTCTCTTCCATCTTCAAATTCCTCAGTGTGCCACTCGTATGGGCTAAATCTGCTGACCAGGAATAAAACTACACTGACCCCAATGTAGGCAAAAACAATGCACATCCAGATTTCATATGCTAACGGATCAAGAAATGAAAACACTCCTGGCTTGGACTTCTGAGGCTTCTTGATCATTATTGATATCCCCAGGCTCATAAAGGGCTTTGAGAAGTCAATCACCTCTTCTCTCACCAATGTTATAGTTAATGGAGCAATTGCAATATCGGCTTTCTGTAAAGGAAGAAAAAAAGCAAATAATAGCTAATGCAATGAACAGAGCAAAAAATGGCTTAGTTTCTACAGCATTTCACAAATAGAAAATAGGACTGCAGAGACATTTGTTTCACTGAGAACATCCTGTGGAGAATTTCTGAAATTTTTAGTTGAACTTGTACTGAATTACATAGAGCCATATGGTTGGTGTATTCCAAGATTTTGTTTTTACATATGCCCTTTTAACAGCATATGCCATTTAAAAGTTTAGCCAAGTACTTTGCTTTTCACCTGGTGAGAAACATGAAATATGCATTCAGTTTTCCCCAGCTTTATTTGCATTTGAAATGTAATTTAATGTTTTATTTTCAAAATTTTTCATGCCATTAAAAGTTATTAATTCCTATAAAATTAATTAGGAAAATTTCTACACTCTACAGAGAAAATGAAAGCAAATCCCACTCCTTCCATTAGTCATCTTTAATAGCTTTATTATAGAAAATTTTCTTACCCCATAAACAAGTTCTCCAACCATCCCATTCCAGATTTTCGTGTCTGCATCCCTTGCCCCATACTTGCCATCCCCAACAATTGTGAGCTTATATTTGAATCCACAGTGCTTAGCAATTTCTGTAGCTAAGTCCACACAATAGCCCTCATATCGATCATTTCCTTCAAGCATTTCATGATTTTTCTTCATCATGACATATGGGGACTCCTGCACAGAAAGAACTTGCCTTAGCTACTTGACAGAGACAGGTGCATCATTTGTACACTTCACAGATTGGTATGTTCCTTTTTACATGTGAAAAAGGCAGCAGATACCATCTGAATCATACATGCTATGTATATGTTACATTGTTAATTATTAATGGCACATGTCTTTAACACATTTAAAAGCTGCATTCTCCAGTCATACACAAATGACAGTACTTACAGGAACAGTGACTCCCAGAAGTATGTTAATAATGACCATGAATGTTAACAGGAGTTACGCATTCAGAGAAGAAAGAGTAAATTCCAAAATCAGTTTCTTTCTCTCATACAGTTTGGATGGAAGAAGGCGAAGGTATTTAGTTGTTTTTGCTGCTGTCTTATACAAGAAAATTATTTTCTATTTCACAACCACTTCTCTCCCTGAGAAAACACTTGAGGCTCTCAAAGCTATATTTTTATTAAATTGCTATACAAACAACAGGTAAGATATCTATAACTATGCACTAAATTTCTATCATCAGCAAAATTGGTGATGAGTCATAAATTGGATTAACATATTTCCTCTTTGCTCAGCTGCTACAGGACTGTTCTTGTATCCAGAAAAATTCCTATGCTAACCTATGGGTCATTCAAATTGATAAACAAGTGGTGTGATTTACAGAAAAATGCTCTTCTATAATAATATACAATTTAATTTTCTAAACAACTAGAATACAATTTTTAATGTTTAATTTTACACTTTACCAATCCATAGTGGCTACAATCCCCAAGCATAAGAACCAGTCTCTGCTGTTTGTCAAAATCAATTCTCTAAAATGGACACTATGGTTCTGCCTCTCAGAAAGTTCCTCTCCTTTGAAAGCAGGTATTTAATTTCCATTTTCACTTTTAAAAACCATAACTTTCTAGGATATTCAATCAAAGACCATTCATCCTCTACAAATCAAAACCACTTGCTGAATCCCATACATTTCCCTAATTTCTAGGTTTTATTATGTATCACAATAAGTAACAGCTCACAACCCCAAATAATAAAAAGACAGTACATTTTAACTAATATAATGCCGAGAAACAAATCATTGTCAGATAGTCTTCTGACAAAATAGGAGGTTAATTACCAAAATAGTGGTGACAATAATAGTCTTATTCTCTAGTCCTGAAGATTCATTTCCAAGAGGGCCGTCAAGAGGATTCACAACCATTTTGTCCACTTCACTCCAATATCCAATCTAAAGAGAGTGTATAGGATGCACAGGCACTATGAGTATTCAGTGAATATGAACTTTTCTGGAAAAGGTGAAGCATGTTAATACTATGCCCTTGATTTTTGTTCACAGAGAACTATTTCAGCTATGGATTTACCACTATAAGCATTTACATTTATGTATTGAAAGATTACAACAAACACTAAAAAATTGGACTAATGACATTTTTTTACATTATTTTGTCTAGAACAGGTATACCATTTTTGTTCACATATTAACATTGTAAAATTGAAATACTCCAGATCAGCAAAACATATGAAATTGTTTTTCTGTGAAAGATTTGAAATTAGAGCAGAAACACAAACATATTTATAAAAACATCACTAAAAAGCTGCATCCAGCTTTTGCCATTCAGAAGCGTATTTCTCCAAATGCTGGCTCACCTTTAACAATTCAGATCAGAAAGTAAAAAGTTTAATTTACAAAACTGAAAGGAAAACACTCTTACATAGTACTTACCAGAAATAATAATTCATATTTGTTAGAAAGAAATATTACATGTTTACTTCAGTCTGCAAGACCACTGTAGAATACACCTATGAATAAATATTATTACAACTTGTGCTTTAATTAAGTGCTTTTCAGTACCTACCTTAACCATTGCTCAGAATGGAAAAACCTTTAAAGATGCTATAAGACAATTCAAATTACCTTCCGAGGACCGGTACTTTTGAGTTCCATGACGTTTATTGTAAAATTGATTCTCTTTCCATTCTGATCAAACTTGATATTTCCTGTTAGCCCTTCCACCTGAACCTATAACAGATGAAGATGGAAGTGGTAGAAGAATTAAGTTTCTTTATTTTTAGAAAATGGGTTTTTTAGTTCCACAAATGATTATTGATATTTCAAAAACATTCACTTAAGAGTAATTTTCATATGCAATATATTATGTTAGCCAGGTTCCTGAGCATTTCACTTCCACATTAATGCCAGCAAGATCCAGACATGTTAGGAGATTAGAAGATATTTTCAAGCATTTATAGAGAATTTCACACATGCGCTCATCCCAGCATCCACTCCAGTGAAGCTACCTGTTTCAATGCCCTTTCTATTTCTACACCATGACCCCACGGTACAGCTGGATTTGCAAGACAATCTCCAGCATTTCCTCTTCTGGAGATCTCAATCCTCTGTTTACGCAAATTACGGAAAGCTTCTGTCATCACTTGAACCGCATCATAGGTCAGAGCAGAGGTATACTGAAAAGAAGTAAAAATATTTAATTAAAAACCATTTTGAGCTTCACTATACCTTCCAATCTACTTGGCAATCCATGAAACACTAGAAGGGTTACTAAGAGGGATACTAAGGGATACTGGTTAGGGGCAGTGCCAATAAACCTGAACTAAAGATCGAAAGTGTGAGTTACATTTTTTTCTCACTTTCAGCTGTGCAACAGTCCTGTGTGCAGATATGGCTACAAGTCCATGCAGGTGAAAGGGGAAAAATAGAAATAGTTTTCAGTGTTTACCCTGAGCTAGCTTGTAAAAATAAGAATGTGTTCCTCTGATTACACTCTTCATGGAGAAGCATTTATTCATAGATCTCAAGACTTCATCTCCTCCCAGACATATACTCACAAACTCAAAGAGCATGTATTTGTGTACACATGTGTTTAACTTTTCCCCATTAAATACAAAATCTCAGGGGTAGCTACTTTCAAGTATGCAATACCTTGTCAACATCACACAAAACAGTTTTGGAGCTGAGATGCCTGGAACAAGTAGAGCCTCTCAAAGAGCAATATAGGTGAGGAAGAGCCCCATGTTCCTAAACTAATATAATATACAGAGCCTTACCATTTCTGACACATCAGAAGTGTCTGATGTCAGTGTCATCAGAAATGGGGCTAAATGGTCAAAAGCATTTATCTTCAGTGACTGGAAAATTTTACATCTCAACTAACTAACTGAACTGAAACCACATGTGCACATGCACTGAGGACTTTGTTGGATGGGCTTTTTGAGTCTGGAACACCACAATTATTCCAAATATAAGAGACATTTTTGGAAATATGGGCCAGAATATAACTACTTAGAGGCATATGAATGAATGGAATGATTCTTGTGAATGCTATTAGATGCTGAAAATATATCAATTGTAAAGTGGAGAGAAATGATGTATTAGCTCTTTGCTTCAATGGCTCAGACTTTAATGAGAATTTTAATTAGTTATCTCAAGTCATGCAGAAGGCTCTTGTAATTGTAACAAAACCCAAATTGAGATTAATTTTTGTATGCAACTGTTAAACCTTAGAAAAGGAAGAAAAGGAAATATAACTCTTTTCTAAAGATCAGTAAGCTCAGTGATCAGTGTCAATCTTCTCAATAAAGTTTTCTCAGTGACTTGTGCAGAAATATTTAAAGGGATCAGAACAGCAGAAGAATGAAGTGAAAGACTGGTTGGAGTCACTACTACTTCCTCCTACTGGAGCAGCAGTGCTTAAGTGGTGTACATGAATTTGGAGATGAGGAGTAGAAAGGACCCTGCCTAGCAGTACTTCTTCAAACATTGCTCTTTGTGGTACAGAAACATATTGTGCTATACTAGTGTTCTGAGAAACTTTGGACACAGCACTGCCATTAACCCCTGAAACATACTTTGGGTAGCAGAAAAAATGAGCTTGGAACTGAGATGTAATAATGCTATCTACTTCAGCTATTCTATGATTCATTGGATCATTCAGATATATTTAATGTATTATCTCAAGAATATTATTTCTATAGTATATAATTACTGACCTGAATATTCATAGCTTAATCATAATGAGGATTATGTAGAGCTTTGCCTATTGATCAGTATCTGTATGTGCATACATGTCATCACATATATAAAATCTATATGTCATAATTTAGATTAAGACAGCTTTAATCTAAGGATCTCAAAATATTTTAAAAGCACTGTTGGAGATGCCATGAAAGCAAGCAGCCCATGAATCATTTCTTACTGCTTTATTGTGCATACACTTTCAGCTCCTAATAACCTTCATGGGGCTCATTAACACTATCTACAGCTTCATAAATTGATGTAAAGTTGACAAACTAAATCAAAGTGAACTCATTACCATAAACAAGAAATGACAGACCAATAACCTGCTCGTGCAGAGATGTGTGTGTGTCTGCATAATAAATAAAATGGTTATAAGTTAAAAGATGCATTAGCCCTGATTTGATTCACTTTGTTTTTCTGGAGATTCATCCACATTCTGCTCTGCACTATTAAAATAAATAGGAGCACTATTTGGAACACTGTGTAAATCTCCCATCATTTCATTTCCTTTCAACTTTATATTCTAAGATCAGCAACTTTACTACAAAATGAAATAGGTGCTAGATTTCTTATAGAATCACTTGCACTAATTAAAGCATGGCAAAGAATATGCAAAAAAAAAAAAAATCCTGCATATCAGAATTTTAGAACTAGGGTAATAAGCTGATAAGATAAATTGCCTAAAGATTTTATGCCATTTCCTATGAAGCATGGATTGCATGAATATAAAATAATATAATTTTGTCTAAGCAGATGCCTTACTTGCCAGGCAGAGAAAACACAAAGTCCGTGTAATTTTCTTCAACTTAAATTTCTAACTTAACTTTCTGCCTTCAACTTAAAAGCTCTATAGACTGTAGTAAAATATGTAACCTGCAATTGCTACAATGAATTTGAAAAGTAAAGACAAAACAAATTCATCTCAGACTAAGCAGAAGTTATTGCATGTGCTGTCCAAGAAAAACTGGCAAGACGTTGTCTATGTAAATTCAGATATTTTCCAGCAACTTGGAGATACCGAAAACCCTTAGCTTAAAGGGCCAAGATTCTATTTTATACAATCAGTAACTGAATCTTCTGAAGGTGAAATTTCAAAACACTACCCCAGAATATAACAAGATTTTGTCATATGTATATTTCAAAGTTGTAAGATATTATAAGAAAACTAAGTTATCCTATCCCGTTAGACCTGCGTTTAACTCAATGCCTGTCCACATGCTCATGACAAAGCTGAGAGATGTGATATAATTAAGACAATATACTTAAGCAGTGGAAAAGAAATAAAAATGTGAAGACATAAATGCAAAAAAAAAGAAAAAAAATAATAAAACTAGAATATTCTGAATCAAAAGAGGTCAAATTATTTTCCTTTTCATTTTAATATCTGCAATGTCTAAATCTATCCTTGACAGATTAGCTTGAGTTTGAGGGTTTTTGGTTGGTTTTTCTTTTTTACAGTCAGAGACGAGAGTAAGTATTCTAAAGTGTGATTCATTTGACCAGTTAGACACCTTGTTGGAAGACGAAATTAATTGTGCTTTAGATTCACTCATTTGATCTCCAGTAACTCCTGAGACTAGGGAGGAATCCGGGGTGATCATCTTAGGTCCTGCTGTTTACACTGTAGATGCACTAGTAACAAACTAAAACCACTCAGACAGACTGTGAACCAGCCATTCATCCCTAATCCAACACAACAGAGAGAAAAAAAAAATAATGGGAAAATTTTGGAAAATTTATGTCAAAGAATGCAGTGCTGTTGTACAAAACACTAGGGAGACCTCAGCCAGAACGGCAGATCCAGCTGCAGCAGTGCTCAAGAAGGCAGAAATCAGTCTGCAACAGGCACAGATGGAGGTTCCTCACCATGTATGGGGGCTGCTGTTGGAGCAGCAGGAGAAGGAACACTGCATCACTAAGAGAGGCTAAGAGAAAGGAGGCCAGGAGTCCGATACAAATATTTTCTCTTGGAGAGCGGTAAAATTCTGAGAGAGGAAATACAGGAAATGTTCTTTGCTACAAGAGCAGAAGGGTAGAATCAATCAGCCTAAACACAGTTTCACCATTTCCCTCATATTTAAACAATTTCAATATCAGCAAATATACAAAATTAACTATAATAAAATCTCTAATCTGAATTTTGTGCGTTTTTCTCTCAACAAAGTACTTCCCTATTTGAATGTTTGTGTATACAACAAAAGCAGAAAGATTGAGATAAACATTCCTAGATCTTTATAAATTACATATAAAACATAGGTGTATATACATATGTAAACACAGAAGCAAAAAATAAATGAGACACAAAATTACTTGTCAAGAACCAGTGAAGGAATTGGGCAACTGCCTCTTGTACTTCCAGTGTAGTCAAACCGATGCAACCTTGGACACCTATTTCTTAAGGGTCTTTAATGTAGCTAGAAGCTATTTTGAAACAGACAGTATTACACACACTTTGGAAAATACCTGAAGGTTGTCTGACAGATAAGAGAGCTAAAAGAAAATTACCTAACTGATTGGAAATGGCTATTTCCTTCTAAAGCTCCTGGTACCTTACATGGCATCCTGACAGGACATGGAATTGCGAAGAGCTACTTCCAATAGAAACAAGAGACATTGTCAAATCTTGTACATAGAAGTGCAATTGGAAGCGAAGATGGCCTTTGAGTGTGCCCATAATCAGGCTTTGTTCTCACCTGTTTTGTGAAGGCATTAGCATGAATGGGGTGTGCACACAGCAGTGCACACATGGAGCTGGTTTCCATTCAACTGCAAATGGGCCTTGGGCACTTGAGCATCTTCATTACCTACGGCCATGTTTCAAATACTGCAATGTGAGATAGAGGTCAGGGAGCCTAGAAAAAACAGTGCATGGTTCTTCCTCTTTGTTAGGGTGATGATCTTGTGAAAATAGTGGTCTTAGCAACAGACTTGCTTCCAGCTGAGAATAATTGCATACATACACAAAGTATTTGGAAATGATAATTGCAATTTTTTGAATAACAACCCTGGTCCTGACTAAAAGGGGAAGAGAGATTAATAAAATGTAAAATTACCTGATAGTTTAACAAAATTAATTAGATTGATCTCAGTAAAGATGGGGTTAGAGACCAAGCCCTGTTTATCTTAATGAATATGCTATCTTTATTACATTTTGTTTCCCAAAGTTGTACATCACATCAACTCATAGTTTGATAAAAGCCTTTATTCAAACACAACTGCAGCACTCTGTGTGCACAGAAAACCTAAACAAATAGGCATTTTTGCTTTGAAGTGCCATACTAGCATGAGATGCAAAGAATGTCTTAAGCAACCTGTCACTTTAGAAAAATTTGCATTTAGCTCCAGAACTGCTATCCAGAAAATCTGCTGATTTTTTGACATGTTTTTATATTTTAATTATCTCTTTGCTTGGTTTAGAAGGACTGCTTTC